ATTGATATACAACGTTGCCAGACATGCAGAGCTGGACAGGGCGATGAAAGGGTGTCTTCTCTGTTCGAACTCTGGTGCATTCATGGAATATCAAAGGCATTATGCAACCACACATTCGTTTTTAAAGCCGATTTTGTCGTTTAGTTAGCAGATCCAGTCACATGCGAAGTTCTCTGATGCAGGCGAAATCCCTCGTACCCTAAACGAACCATTTTCCTGAAGGATCAACACGCTTGATTTTGGATGCGCGCCGAGATCATGGAGATATTGACTGCCGCAAAAATCATAAGAGTACATGAGAATAAATTGTGGTGAAACGTCCTTCGCCGACAGTCTATTCCCACATAGAGCGACTAGTATTCTGACGGGCACACCATGACTGATACCAAAACGTGGTGCAGAAATTCGAAATATCCTCAGTTTAAAACTCCTGGAAGCATCAGGTTATACTTCAGCAAGTTACCCGTTGACGCTTACACATAACCTTTGGCCTTTGGTTCGCATAAATAGGATGAATATGCTTCAACAAAAATAGGCTAACCTTGTTATAAATTCAACACTGAATGGGTAGTTGAACAGATTATTAGCAGCAACGAGCCGAGTCTATAAAGAGCAGAATTTGGAGGCATGAAGTTTGCCTCGACGTCTGCTATGACCTTTGTACTTCGGAAATCAAGCCATATACGATTCCTTAGCCGGACGTCTGCTTCCCTAGAGCTGTCTTGCATAACTATTAGACGGGTGAAGCGACTCGTCTTCTTCGCCCTGTACGATACACCTAGGGCCTCTCGTCAGCATTTAGCACCCAAAGTACAGCTCTCATGGAGGGTACTATTTTACCCGACCGCTGCTATTCTAAGCGTAGCCTGTACTGGTGGTGAGTTGTGAGTTGTAGTGCGAAAAGGCGCTTGTTCTGTAACGGGATTACACGTACCCTTCTATGAAAAGGCGGGTCGCACAAGATGGTGTCGGTGAGGTTACACAAGCTGGTGTAATCACACAGTGGTGTGGCTACACCGTAACAGGAAGCCACTACGTGGTAGGAATGCATCTTGATTAGGTTTTAATTAGGTCTTACTATAATAATTAGGAGGAGCTGAGGCTATAGATATTGGCGGCTTTGCCGCAACCAAAACAATATCAACTTTGAACGGAAGGGTTCATTTACCTTGGCTAAGGATTTAAGGCAGCGTATTGCGATCCGCTGCACTCGTACTGATTCTTGTAAAGAACGTAAGTCGGTGACTTTAGCTTAGCTTTCTCTAAGCAAAGAGCTACGGCAGCCCCGCTGCACTTGGTAGCACTCGTAATCAATTTATTCCTGAGTCATTACGACTGATCCCCTGTGAGAATGCAGAAATTCTCCTATTTATCCGGGCACGCAGTACGTGTTTGAAAGCTATGGTCCCTGCTTGGCCCTGAGGGTGTTGAATACCTTGTTGCGCAAGGGCCCGAAGTAGAAACGAGCGCCTAGAAACGTTTTTAAGTTATAAAAATGCTCTGCTAGAGCACCTACAAGAAACTGTCGTCGTCGTCTGCGTCCATGGCGCCACCGTCGACGACGGATGGCTCCTCCCGACCCAGGCCCTTCATGGTGAGCGTTAAGACCCTGGGGACCGAGCGCGAGTATGGGCACTAACAAGCGGTGTTTCGGTTAAAGCTGCGTTCCCTTCCCGGAAGGAGCTGTAACCAGCTTTTGCGAGTGTTCTCGCCACCTAATCAGCATATCGCGTGTGATCGCGTTTCCTCCTGCCCGACAGGGCAAGAAGGAATTGGTGGTCTTTGTCCAAGCGTTGGGAAGTCTCATTGCCGGGATAGCCGATCCTCTTCCCGAGGCGGTCACAGTGACCGTCTTTATGGGGGGCCTCTGCTTTGGCGTGGCCAGAATGGAAGTCTTCCGTGTGCTACCGTCTTTTTTTGAAGAAGCGATGAAAGTGACATTGAATGTCATTTTCATTTTTCAGTTGGCACGACTTGGTTGGAATGCACACCCTCCACCCGTCATCTTCGAACTGGCTGTCCCCCTTCGCAAGGTGCGTAGAGATTCGTTGAACATAGGTCCCACTTCTAACCAGTCTGGTTTGCCGCGGGGAAACCACCAAGCCCAGTGGGCACGAAGCGTCCTACTGGGGAAGAACTGAGTTCCGTTGTGCCTCAAGGAGGTTGAGGGCAGCAGGGCCTAGTCTCGAAGAGCTGTGTGCTCTTGAACACGAAACGTGTAAGCAAACAAGGCCTGCCGGTTGTCTAAGCGCAGGAGAAGGGCTCTGATAGGAAAATCCTTAGCAATATCTGGTGT